TGAGCACACTCTTTGTGTGTATGTGTTTATTTGTGTGTGTGTGTGTGTGTGTGTGTGTAATTTAGAGTTTTATTTTAGCTTTAAAATTATTGTCATATTGCTCTCACTGTCGTCTTCAGCGTGGAAAGTTTATAATGATGTCTTGCACGTGTGCCACCATATTCCACCAAGTTGCATTTTCCTGACACCTGGCCCATCAGCACTGACACTAACCTCTTAGTGCTTAGCGCCAAGCTAGACAACTGTTAGAACCATTTTTATAACTCTTTGGTATGAGTCGGCCGGGGTTCGAACCCACAACCTCCAGCATCCGAGACCGAAGCTCTAACCACTTACGCCACTGGAGCGGTCCACACGGTCTTGGAACATTATGTAATGACAGATCAAGGTCTACGATCATTGAACTTATATCAGTTTGATAAACGGGTATATTGGGCAACATAGCTTTTGTATGCAACTTAGTGTGCATTTCCGTAAGTATAATATATTGAAAAACCGCCATGTTTGTGAGAAGAAAGTGACCAACTTTCTCATTTAATATTATCCACAATACTGTGAAAATGTCGGTGAGGATTGTTTTTCAACAAAAAGCATTAAAATGGCCTAACAGACAATTTTAGACCATAAAACATTCCTGCTGGTGTGCATTGAACTATTATTTCTGCCCACTATTATCAAGATACTTCAGAATCCAGGGATAGCAACGTCTATTCTGTCTGGTATATATTTATAATTCTTTGTAATACAAAAATCCGATATACCTTGATTTCTGTCATAGGAATCTGGAACGACTGTATATATATATATATATATATATATATATATATATATATATATATATATATATATATATATATATATATATATATATATATATATATATATATATATATATGAGAATTATTTACTAGGTCGTCATGCGAGTGTGTCTGCTACGCACGAGCTTATATAACCCCGACCTCAGTGCCATCATTTTTTGGTGATGCGTGCTTAGTCCTGACGGTGTATGGTGGGCTGGTGCGTGCAGGCAAGGCGATGGGTACCATTTACTCGCGGACCTGGGTTCGAAACTCCGTAGAATATACACACACACACACACACACACATATATATATATATATATATATATATATATATATATATATAGATGCAATAAACTGACGACGAACAGTACGAAACTAGTAACTAACTAGCCTAAGCGCTTTCGACTCTTAATGAGTCTTTTTCAAAGGCAAATACAAAACATAGTTACGACAAACAAATAAACACAAAAACGTTGCGTTTGTAAACCTCTACATTTCTATCTTCACATGTGTTAAAACTATAAATACAACCAGCTTGTCTGTTTGATATTTCAGGAAACTGGAAACGATTCGGTTCATGATTCCCAAGTCTTCAAGTTGGAAACGACATTTGATTGTTGCAGGTACATCGAGTCACAGAGAGAGTGTGTAGAAATGGAGGAGATTTGGAATATCTATACGAAGTCTTGAGAGAAGGATCTAGAGAAAGTCGAGAAGGAGAGAATGATTTAGAGAAAGTCGAGAAAGGATATAAGGAATTGAGATATGGAATATAAATTGCACCTATGAGTGTATCAAGACGCAGGTGTAATCGATCTCACACTGCTATCAAGTGATGCATTAGGCTTTTTATGAGTGCGGATCGGAGATGTTGGAATTGTCATTGGATTACGAATTGTTATTAATTTATTCATGTTAATCAAGCTTTTGATGATTTAACATAGTAACTCGTCGTCATTGCTGTACTGGGCTCCGACTTTCTCTTCTTCCTAAATTTAACTTCCAATAAAGAGTAGCCTGGTAGGACTTCTATAGTTTCTATCAGTATGGGAGCCCCCCATAACAATCTTACAACTAATGTCAAAATAAGTATTAGGCTTCCATATCTGACTATGGTTACTCGCTGCTATTGCAGTTAATCATGTTTGTAACGTCATTTCAGTAGGTGTCTTGCATTTTTGCCTTTAGACATAATGTACTAGTGATCATCTGCTCTTGAACTTCTTTCTATCTCTGGAAAATGACTAAATTACATCTTTTTAGATAACATCAATGATAGTTCCGTTTGTCTGCGCATTTCAATATTTATATCAAGCTTGAAGTACCACAAATGACATGGATGATAATTAATAATTCATTTTTTCTAAGCACTATCATGGATATAAATTCAGTATTAGTTAATAAATGTCGTTAATAACTTGGCATGATTTGACGTGAATACTTCTCAATTGTCGACCTGAAAATTACATTTACATTTTATGATACTGAACTGCATTGGTATCGAAAGAAAATGGATGGAATCAACTCTTAACTAAAGATGATGATCATGTTAGGATGATAAACGTGACGTCAAATTCTCAATGTGGACACTTAGTATCTCAAACATGGAGCATAATGTTCCGATGAAATTGAGTCGGTCCCGTACTCAGTGAACCACTTATCGATAAGAGACAGTCATCGCTTATGTCGGCATGGCTACCTGAATGCGTTCAATTGCCGGTACTAATCCTAGCTAGTGCTGGACCTTCAATCCTGACGTAAATCATATAGATTAATTAACAAACAAGAACTTCCGTTCATATTGCATCATAGATGTACATGAAGTTAAGTCTGTCCCAAAAAATCATTTCTAAACGTTGGTAATGTTTTCCTTTTTCATCACTCCGGTTGCGTAAATCTCCTATGAAACGAAATAATTTAAGATAAATGAATTGTCCTTAAAGGTCTGAATCATTTGATTAATACTATTTGACCGGAAAAGCATTTTTTTATAACGTTATGGTTGCTCACGTTGACATACTCTCAATAAGGGCCCAGAGCGAGTGGCATAATCTGTATTACGGATCCTGCTATCTCAACCTCTTCGCTGGTGTCGATCTATGATTCGGCGAAGATCATTAGTGAGAAGTAGCAACTAAGTGAGTTCTGGTTCGGTGTTCTTTCCGGTGATTTCCACGTTCTTCGCCAATTAAACATGCCCTAATAGTCTTTCGGGCTGAAAAATGGCATAAGCCACAACACTACAGCCAAATAAGTTGAAGAAAAAAGTTTAAAAGTGTGTGCGATTACATCTATTTATATACTTTAAGGTTTCTATATTGCTGTTTCGTCGAGCCCTTTCATGCAAATTTAGACACCGCAATTATACAGACTTTAAAGGTATTATTTTTATCATCTATCTTCTCTCAAGGCCTTTGATACATATGTGTCTAGACCAATCCAGAAATATTTCAATAAAGTGAGATCGTGTTGTTCATACTTAATAATGAAAGAGGTATATGAACATATTGCCCATACCATATATGCTTCATGCATGCTCTGTAACAGTTATGTTTTCAGTGCACAGACCTCTAATGAATAGTAAAGTGATAGATTTTTCTTGATAAATACATGGAATTGCGCACAAGAAATAACAAAAAGGGATGAGAAAACATATTTTTTTTTCACCTATCTGAAAAAGGGGTTTGATCCATATATTATTGTTATGGGTTAGCAGCACGGACATTGCCATTCCAGTTGTTATGACCAAAATATATTATATGATATCTTCGTAATCAAAGATGTAGAACATATCTCGTGTCTTAATGGACTTTTCAAACACCGTATAACCCAAACATTATATACAAATATTCTGTGCAACAAAAGCATGTATCCATTAGGCTTTGTGTAATCAGCATTACTTTTTTGTAGTGGTATAGAGACCTTACGAAAAGTGACCCAAACAAAGCCTATCTTTGTCAGTTTGATTTACAAGAGATGCATGGAATCCAGTCAATCTGAGACTTATCTTTCTTTAAGCGTCAACAAATGTTTATAAAAACTGGCTCAAGATCGCCGTAGAGCTTATGCGTTTAACAAATAAATGGACATTTCGCAAATGATCGTATATCTTAAAAATTACTTACCAGTCAGTGACACAACCACCAGAAAACAAACAAGCGCGCTTTTCATCTTTGAGAAGATCCTTCACCTTGAGGCAAAAAGTACTTTCGACGAAAGTTATATTGTGTTCAGCCAATAAGACGGCAATTTATATTCTTCTGTAGCTGAGTTACGTGTTCTTCTATACGCTGAACTGAGCTACATCCTGGTGTTAATTTTGTACCAAGAAATACGGTGTTTTTTTTTTTCTTCACATAAACGCACATTACCAGGAAAAAAATATCTAATTCTTTGTATACAGAGACCCATTAGATGTATGAATTAGTAAGCAAAACAGCTGAGTGAAATATCGCTCTGGAAATATCTCGTGAATCCTGTTTTTGTATTCATTTGATTTGTGAAATCAATTATATTTTATTTAATATTTTTTTTAGGGTAAATCAAAGCTTAAAATAGTATTTAAATTTGATATTTTACAATGGAGTATAACGTGAAACGCAGTAAATGTGTCTAGGCGCTTTTCATACAATGAATAAAACAAGCTTAACATTTATATTAGTGTTGGAACCTTTGCTAAATTATTAATAAAAGTAAAGGGTCTTTATTATTATTATTATTATTATTATTATTATTATTATTATTATTATTATTATCATTATTATTATTATTATTATTATTATTATTATTATTATTATTATATTTTTAGAAAATGTTTTGTGAAGGAAATGCTTATAACTTCTCTTGTGAATAACAAGTAAGAAACTGAACAGCAAAGTCAACTACCATGTCTTGACAGGTACAATACTATATGATTTTAAGCAAACTGAGCACACTCTTTGTGTGTATGTGTTTATTTGTGTGTGTGTGTGTGTGTGTGTGTAATTTAGAGTTTTATTTTAGCTTTAAAATTATTGTCATATTGCTCTCACTGTCGTCTTCAGCGTGGAAAGTTTATAATGATGTCTTGCACGTGTGCCACCATATTCCACCAAGTTGCATTTTCCTGACACCTGGCCCATCAGCACTGACACTAACCTCTTAGTGCTTAGCGCCAAGCTAGACAACTGTTAGAACCATTTTTATAACTCTTTGGTATGAGTCGGCCGGGGTTCGAACCCACAACCTCCAGCATCCGAGACCGAAGCTCTAACCACTTACGCCACTGGAGCGGTCCACACGGTCTTGGAACATTATGTAATGACAGATCAAGGTCTACGATCATTGAACTTATATCAGTTTGATAAACGGGTATATTGGGCAACATAGCTTTTGTATGCAACTTAGTGTGCATTTCCGTAAGTATAATATATTGAAAAACCGCCATGTTTGTGAGAAGAAAGTGACCAACTTTCTCATTTAATATTATCCACAATACTGTGAAAATGTCGGTGAGGATTGTTTTTCAACAAAAAGCATTAAAATGGCCTAACAGACAATTTTAGACCATAAAACATTCCTGCTGGTGTGCATTGAACTATTATTTCTGCCCACTATTATCAAGATACTTCAGAATCCAGGGATAGCAACGTCTATTCTGTCTGGTATATATTTATAATTCTTTGTAATACAAAAATCCGATATACCTTGATTTCTGTCATAGGAATCTGGAACGACTGTATATATATATATATATATATATATATATATATATATATATATATCTATATATAGATATATATATATATATATATATATATATATATATATATATATATATATATATATATATGAGAATTATTTACTAGGTCGTCATGCGAGTGTGTCTGCTACGCACGAGCTTATATAACCCCGACCTCAGTGCCATCATTTTTGGTGATGCGTGCTTAGTCCTGACGGTGTATGGTGGGCTGGTGCGTGCAGGCAAGGCGATGGGTACCATTTACTCGCGGACCTGGGTTCGAAACTCCGTAGAATATACACACACACACACACACACACATATATATATATATATATATATATATATATATATATATATATATATATATATATATATATATAAAGAAATACAAAATTATTTTGATTTTCAGAATACAAGTTATGGATTTAAAACTTTGAGATTATTTGTCGTCAGATACATTTAAAAATTTTTCCTTCGTTTGTCTCTTTTTACTAAGTCCTTGTTTATTTTGACTCCGTCTAACAAGAAGAGGGAAAGAGTATACAAAAATTCAGTGGGAATTAAATGAAGGAAAAAGGTAAGGAACAGAAAAAATATAGATTAAAATCTAGTTTATTCAATCGCCGACAGAAGTAAGAATGAAGGGGAGAATATATAAATTATCAAATTATCCAATGTTAATATGTGGATTTAAATTTATTTAAAATCTCTTTCCTATCGAATTTCGCAAAACGAAATTGTTGAATGCATGCATTCGTGTCTGTATGTATCAGGTACATGATATGCAAAATGTAAACAAAATCTTTTAACAGTGACATGCATCTATATTTTATTTGTATTTATCTAGCGTTGATGACGTCATTGTAATGGAGATAATAACTCATAAGAGGTTGGAAGACCCCAAGTCGAGGAAGTTGTGCCCAATACATTCAGTGTTGCATCCTCCGCAATAATTCGCTCTGTGAATAGAGTGGAAATGGTAGTAGTATTAGTAGTGGTAATGGTTGAAATGGTAGTAGTACTTGTAGTAGCAGTAGTAGTGGTAATATTAGCAATAATAATCTAAGTAGTAGCAGTAGCTATATCAGTGGTGGTAGCAGGGGTGGTGCTTGCATTAGCACTATTATCTGTTTTATTTCTTACTTATTTCTTTATTGTTTTCTTATCTGACAACTGAATAAAACTCTTAAGGTTACAATAAGAGAAATAACTGTGAGGTGTATTTTTCAATCGAATATTATCTTCTTCATTACCACACAATTTATATGAGAAGAGCATCATTTATTTCGTCAAGAAAAGCGAAGAAAGAGCATAAACTATCATTCCTATATCAATGGAAAATTGCATTAACATCCACCTGTTGATAAAGATCCAAAGGTTTTACTCGGTCCAACAAGGCAAATTCAGAGATTCAAAAGTAGTTGTGAGGTGTTTAGGAACATCGAAATGAAAAGGAGATACTTTTAATACTTTCTTACTGTTCATAATGAAACCAATAAAATCATTGACTATATAAGCAATTAATAACAGCATAATCAATTATACTGTTAGTCATTGTTTATATAGGTTTTCTGTTTGTCTTATAAACCAATCTTAATCTTTGACTCTTGTTTGCATTCGCTGTGTGTGTGTGTGTGTGTGTGTGTGTGTGTGTGTGTGAGAGAGAGAGAGAGAGAGAGAGAGAGAGAGAGAGAGAGAGAGAGAGAGAGAGAGAGAGAGAGAGAGAGAGAGAGAGAGAGAGAGAGAGAGAGAGAGAGAGAGAAGTACTTGCACGTAGTCCCGCTAGGACATGTTGTGTATATACACGGGTCCATCTTACAGAATACCTGTACGCATCCTAAAAAGGCGGTAATAATAATAATAATAATAATAATAATAATAATAATAATAATAATAATAATAATAATAATAATAACAATACATATCAATATGTAAGTGAATGATTTCTTAAAAAATAGCTAAGCCAGCACATTTGATCCATAGTCTGTAGGTATATATTTATTTATTATATAGTTTCAATAGGGAGGAAATGGCGACTTCGGAAAAAGTATTAGACGGCATAATTATATATATATATATATATATATATATATATATATATATATATATATATATATATATATATATATATATATATATATATATATATATTCTTCCCAATATGTCTCCTACTTTAGGGTATTTATGAGAGAGAGAGAGAGAGAGAGAGAGAGAGAGAGAGAGAGAGAGAGAGAGAGAGAGAGAGAGAGAGAGAGAGAGAGAGAGAGAGAGAGAGAGAGAGAGAGAGTACACTTTAAGTTACCTGGAGCAGCTATCACAGCATTTTTGATAACTGAAAAAGGTGGCAAAAGCAATAATTTCATAGTCTTTATATATATTTCAAGATGAAGCGAAAATATCATTAGAATTAAAGAATGAAAGAATTATACTTAAATATTATAGACCTTGGTCTTATTAATGTAAAGATACTAATTAATGGTAATAAGTGTATGAAATATGTGATGCATCTAAATCTATAGCAGCGACAAGAACTGGTTACGGGGAAATGATCACGATTGTTATTTCCATTAATCAAAGGTATGTATGTATGTATGTATGTATGTATGTATGTATGTATGCATGCATGTATGTATGTATGTATGTATGTATGTATGTATGTATGTATGTATGTATGTATGTATGTATGTATGTATGTATGTATGTATGTATGTATGTATGTATGTATGTATGTATGTATGTATGTAAAGCAGCCTGATACTAATATATTTACTTACTTGTTTATACCTTAATGCATACCTTCAGCTCACTGACTTACATTTGCTCTCACGATACTTTAACAAGATACAGACGAATATATATTTTGCAAATACTCACCTACAACTGTAAAGAGAAGACTGATAATATGTAGGCTTTCCATATCTCCGCTGCGAGACAACACTCCAAGCTTTGAGGTGTTTTTCTATAGTCTATTATGATTTCCGGACCAATGTCATCCGTTTCTGTAGCTGACGTGTCTTCGCTTATCTAATGCATGCTACCATATACACTCATGTAGAAAACACCTGTATTTGTTTACACTAATGAAATACGGTATATACCTTTATTTGACAATCTTCAAAAATATCGCTTCTTTACCAGCAGGAAGGTTATTATGTGCAGATTTTAAAGAAATAAATGTGTCGGAAACTTAATTTCAAGATGGTTTATTCAGAATGGTCTATGCATGAAATGAACTTTGCTTTTAGATGTATACACACCTGTATGCATGTATATCTATTTTTTTCTCACAAATCTATCTATCTATCTATCTATCTATCTATCTATCTATCTATCTATCTATCTATCTATCTATCTATCTGTCTGTCTGTCTGTCTGTCTGTCCGTCCGTCCGTCCGTCCATCCATCCATCCATCCATCCATCCATCCATCCATCCATCCATCCATCCATCCATCCATCCATCCATCCATCCATCCATCTATCTATCTATCTATCTATCTATCTATCTATCTATCTATCTATCTATCTATCTATCTATCTATCTATCTATCTATCTATCTATGCATCCATACATACGTACGTACAAACATATATATATATATATATATATATATATATATATATATATATATATATATATATATATATATATATAGTATCGAAGTGCCATGGGACCAAACTCTGGGTTCAATTTTCAGGTAGTTGCGTGCTTTTAAAGGTTGTATAGATGTATAGATGAGTATGTGCTGAACAGGGATGGAGGAAGTCATTCTGGTCGTTCCGAGCATTCAACCTAGTGATTCTCAAGTTATCGAAGTCCTAATTTAAATAAGTTGAAATTCCAGCTATATCAATAGATCATCTATTGCAAAATATTAAGAAACCAGTCAAACTTGAGTTGTGCAAACAAATAAGTATGAAAAAGTAATAGCTTCACCAGTCTAACAAGACTACAGGTAAAAAACTGTTGCCTGCTGCGATTTTACAAGTAAATGTATATTGTTTAAACTATATGCGTTTCTAAACAAGGAAATACGTCATAGGCATAAAACAATGGATTACAGATTTGAAAGGCCAGTAGTACGAAAGGTCGGCAAATAAAACATCTTGAAAATTTTAAGAAAAATGGCTTTTCCTAGTTTGGATAAAATACAAACCGTGACATATTTATTTTTCGGTCCTGTATTGATGACGTATTTGTGCATATAAAACACTGATATGTGTTCATTCCATAAAATGTGAAACATAGAAATTAGATAAATATATATTCTAGCACGTCCAGTTACATAAATAAAAATGAAGTCCTTAACACTTGATGCACCAAAACCTAGAGAAGTGAGAAAAATTAAAAACATCCTTTAGTACGCCGTCGAACTAGAAAATAATTAAGGATGATTAAAAGGCCACAATTAAGTAGAATCGTAACGACAAGACTTTAGCGATTTAATTTGAAAACGTAATTAAAAAATAGATTCTATGTCTGCACAAGGAGAAATTGGCATGAATATTTTAATGACACTGAACCATATCTAAGGAAGATGATA